ATGTGCAAACAAAAACAGAAAGCGGTGAAAGCAAAGAACCTTATATTTTTACAGGAAATAGTGCTATGCACTTCTGCATCTGTTCTCCTTTTACTCTCATTTGAGAGCGTAAAATTGTAGTTTGACAGTTCCACAGGTTTTAGTCCGAAGTTCAAAGGAACAGACTAAATGTAAAATTTTCGATGCATTGAAGCAAAACATCGATATTTTCTATGCATCGATGTTTTTCCGACATCCCTATTTTAAATATCATATCTTGTCAACACGTGCAACGGCCGGAATACAAAAAATTCTTATTTTTCGCTTAGATTTAAAAACAAATCGACATGTCTTTAATGCGGATTAGGTAAATACTTCAATACAGATAATTATGCAAACATTTAAAATTTTATTAATTAGAAAACCGAAAACTCGCAAGGGTAAAAAAATATTGGTGGCGCGGGAGCCGCAGCTTATAGAGTCCACTCGTAATATGCTCTTTGTCGATGGACGCAAATGTGGCGGAGATATAAAATCATGCATGAAGGACCTGCAACAACTGCGCAAGCCTCTGCTAAAAGTGCTAAACCGTAAAAATGACATTACACCTTTTGATGACCCTTCTTCTTTGGAATTGTGAGTCTTTTGTGGCCTATAACAAACCCCTCCTGATATCTTTTTTTTTTAAGTTTGACTATGAAAAATGATTGTGCTCTTTTTGCATTTGGCTCAACGTCTAAAAAGCGCCCAAATAATTTGGTACTTGGACGCATTTTTGAAAATGAGGTGTTGGATATGATAGAATTGGGTATAAAACATTACACGGCAATGTCGGAGTTCAAAACCGAAAAAATTGGAACAAACGTTAAACCATGTTTAATATTTAATGGGCCACGTTGGAATCAAACTGAGGAATTGCGTCGTTTTCGGAATTTGCTTATAGATACATTCCATAAGGATAAAGTGGACGCTATTCGTCTCCAGGGAATTGAACATGTTATAAGCTTCACATGTACCGAAGATTTGGCCATTCTGATGCGATCCTATAAGATAATGCTGAAAAAATCTGGCCAAAAGACCCCGCGCATTGAACTAGTAGAAATTGGACCTTCTGCAGATTTTTCGATCCGACGCACAAAAATTGCATCGGAGGATCTGTACAAACAGGCAAGAAAGCAGCCTAAACAATTGCAGCCAAAGAAGAAGAAGAACCTTACTTTCGATGAACTGGGAAATACACATGGTCGTGTGCATTTGGGAAAACAGAATGTGACGAAGATACAAACGCGTCGCGTGAAGGGTTTGAAGAAAACTCCGGAGGAAAAACGAGAGAGCAGACAAAAGAAAAAAGAATTGATAAAAGCAGCCGCTCGAGAGCTATTAAACAATACAGAATAGTATGTGCATATAATTTTTATATTCTAGATTTTAATAAAAGTTTTAAAATTGTATTCACATACGTTTAAAAAGCTTTCATTATCGACGAAACGTACATTTCTATTTAATGTATTGCACTAACTATATTGCGTATGCGTCTACTCTTTGATTCATAAAGAGCGTTTTCTAATACTTGTATAATGTGCACCAGGCTACTCAAATCTGTCTGCACAAGCAGATCCTTTCGGTTTCGCCGCTCGTCCGGATGAATTGCTTGCTGCTCGCCAACTTCTAGCAAATCTCTGTTTTCATTTTTAGGTTCGGTATGTAGAAATAACTTCATTGTTACGCGTATACTGTTTTGTCTTAAAAGACTGCGTGTTGCTATACGTACCTCCAATCGCCATTCAATATTTACCAACCGATATGCTCGTATATTCGCAGACTTAATGGATCCCTCGATAAAGTGATGTTTGCTGTGCACAAATTGTGTTAGCACTTCTATAATGCTATCATTATAGCCTTCCTCTTGTTGCAATTGTTTTAAGTCAATTTCACTAGCATTAGCCTTAGTAGCATCAATAAGCAAGGCAATAAGTGCTTCAACTGCATGCTGAACTTCTTCTGGATTTGAAACATATTTTTTGGCAAGTTGCTGATAGCGTGGAATGTTGGGGCCGTAACTCAAGTATTCAAAAGCAGACTTGCACAGCTCTACAATATCATCAGGAGACCGCTGGTGCAACAACTGTAAATGCTCACGTTGTTCTTTCTTTAGATTTAATAACATTTTTCTATTTTAGCTTTTAAATTATTTAATTCGTAAATCAGATTCCATCGATATACCTAGGAGTAGTTAAAAGTTGATTCCAAATAATTCGTCAACAACTATCGAAATACATAAACAACAACAGCTGACGAATTCGTCGCAATACAAATAAGGCCGTGGTTTCGTTATAACTATAGTGCTCATTTACACACGGCGATTTTTGTTGCCGCAACTCGACGTTTGTAGGAGAGAGCGTGACGAGGAAAGGAGAGGGCACCGAGTTGCCCATGCATACAACAGGGATTCGGTAATGTCGATAACTATGTTTAACCTCCGATTAGTGTTAACCAGACATTGAGTAACCGGACGTAAAGCTGATGCCACATAAAACTTTTGCTTCGCTTTACGTGACAGATTCGCTTTGACAGATAAGATGAATTGTATGAAAATGCACAAAGCATGCCACATAAATCGTCGAAGCTGCAGCGCGAAGCGAAAAGATGGCCAACTCCCATCTTTTTGCGCGCTTTGACAATCAGCCAGTTTAATATTTATTTTGTTTCGTCCAAATTCGAGTTTTCATGCAGAAACATAAAACTTAATTACATTGCTGATAATTTTAAAGCAAAATATATGAAATCCACAGCAATTTTGACTAGTAAAAAAGCGGTACAAAATTGTTTTCTTGGCGTTCATTGTGGCATACCTTTTGCGTTTGGCGCTTTGCTGGCAAAGTTATAAATGTCACGCAAAGCTACAAAGTTTTATCTGGCATCAGCTTTAGAGTCGCTTTATTTTGAGTCTAACTACGGGCCATAAAATTTAATTACACTGCTGATATTTTTGAAATTAAGTATATAAGATCCACAGCAATTTTCACCAGTCAAATAGGCATGAGTTTAAAATTGCTAACACGATAGAGGCGAAGCCAAAAATGAAGACCAATCCTAAGCTGAAGACCAAAAGAAGTGTAAAATTTTGGTGAATTTGTATCAAAGCGTTCTTTGGCGCTACTTGCGTTGCTGTCAAAATGAAACAACGCCAAAGCGACGCGAAAGCTATATGTGACAGAGCCTTACTGCCATCCCTAAATTGGCGCGTCAAGCGCCAAGCAACTGTCAAAAATCCTCATGCCCATACAATTTGTATGAAGCATCCCACAATAACGCGGCGCTAACGCCGAGCAAATGGAATTTTCATTTTTGACAGGGCGTTACGTGCTGAAGTTGGATGCAGAAGACGAAGAGAAAGAGAACGGACAAAGAAGTGAAAAAGGAAACGAGAATAAAAACGAGAGGACATGAGAAAACGTCAAAATTGACGACGCGTTGATTTGGGTATAGCGCGCGATGACACTCGTTGACAATGGATAACGCAACGCTAAAGCTTGTCGGCGATTTCAAGCATCCGTTGTTGGTTACCCCAGCAACCGAGGCAATCGGAGATCGTCGTGTCACACGTACTTGTTGTCGGCTCGTGTTGATGGAAAATCAAAAATTTTTGATTTTCCATCAACGCGACCGCTTGACAAGCGGTCTGTTTGATAGTGGCGCAAAGCGTTGACAAGCATTTATTCATTATTCTAAAGTGCTTGAATAAAGAATAAAAATTTATTCGTCATTCAAAATTTTTGAAATGATGAATGAAAATTTATTCTTATTTTTTTTTTATTCAATTATTCATTTTCTTGATTTCGCCCATCCCTGTTAGTTTGTTGTGATATGTAAAATGAGCAAGTTCGCGGAAGATAAAGATTTTAGTGGCAAGTAGCAAAAAATCGTCATCCGATGAAGACATGTTTACGTCCGCCCACTACGAAATTTTATTGCAAATGGTGTTGACGCTTTATGCTTGAGTGTCGCCGGGCAAGCTTCAAGCACCCGACATTC